ATGATATTAAAATTTTGTTATTTTCACGATATTTTAAAAATTTTAGTAATTGAAAATTTTCTATATGTGTAAAAAGCCCTTGAAAAATTCCACAAGAAAGACGCATGTTGTAATTTTTGCCACTCTAATAAGAGGACTTCAATTTGTTCGACTTAAAAGGATCGATCAAATTTCAAACTAATATGCATGTTTTTTTTTTTTTCAAAAATAGTAGAAAATAGGCCAATATGAAAAGCTTAAGGAAGTATATAGGTTAACTTTTAGTTATAGAAATTAATAGGCCATAACTTGTCAAGTTATGGTTTATAACCAGATAAGTTATGGACAAACTTGTCAAGTTATGGTTCATAGCCAGACAAGTTATAGACAAAAAATGTGATTTATGGACAATAACTTGTCAAGTTATGGTTCATAATCAGACAAGTTATGGACAAAAACAGTAATTTGACCTATTTATTAACTTATGTAAACTATTAGTCTATTAATTTTAATTCATCTCAAGTCTTGACCTATTTTCCTCTTTCTTCCTTTTTTTTCCCTCTAAAGTTTTACCCCGCAAGTCATTAAAGAATAATCTATTTAATTATCATCAATAATCTATTAGATATCAACAGAATCAACATTGACCATCGATTGTCGCTTGTTGCCGGAGCTAATCTACTTGATAAGGGGAGACGACACAAATAACCCCTTAGAGTATATAAATCTAAACTTTTATTCTTTATTTTTTATTAATATTCTTTCAGTCAAATAACTATATTAGTTAAAAAGATATTAATTTAAAGTAAAAAGTAAAAATCAATATGCAGTCTTAAAAATAAGTTTAGTAATTTCTCACTTGATAAACATTGGTAGTCTACTAGATTGTGTTGCCCTTTCAACACAGATCACTATTCATCCCCGACGTTACCTGAAGTGTAAGTAAACTAAACCAGTAATTCAGATTAATTCTCCAACATAATATATCTCGTCAGTTTTGTCTGGTGTCGATCATTGTAGTGTAATCTAGCAGATTACATCAGTAACCTACTAGATTAAATTTAAAAATAGGAAAATCCAAATTGCCAAAAATACACAAAAATTCATATAAATAATTTTAATATGCAGCTATAGTTTGAGGTTAGAGAAAAACAATATTTTTTTTGCTAGTAAAAAAAAAAGATCAAATGGTATTCTCACATTCCCACTCAACGGCTTAAGAGAAATCTACTGATATTACAAATGAGACGACAAGGGAACCTGGCCCATTCTTTCCTCTACGGGCATCCAAAGAGCCCAAGTCACATCAGACCAAAGCCATATTCGGCAGGCCCATTGAGAGGCATGATTGCAACCTCAGTTAGACGAAGGAAATCAATTCCTGATTGATGAGAGAGAGCCATGGTAGGTTATTCTCTTGGCGCCGTACCACCACCATTGATGATAGGAAAACAATATCTAAAATAGGGTATTTAACCATTCTGATGATGGTCCAAAAGAAAGCAAAAAGTTAAAGAGGCATGAATCCTAACATGAAATAAGCTGTGACACATGTTACAACCATAGGTAGTTGGAATGCTACATAGAGGAATTTCAAACATGCAATTTTTGTGGAAAAATCAAGCCTAATTCTAACATAGATGTTCCAAATGTGGTATATGCTCTAATTTACACCTAATTTTCTATTCCTGTCTGAGTCTGAATTCATACGAGAAAGTTAGATCCCGCTCATTTCACCGATTCGAGTTTTCCTACAGTAAAAAGCTCTAGAAACAGTCACATTTAACTTTTTTGCTACAATAAAAAACTCATATAAAGTCACATCTCAAGTCAAATTAAAAATTCGAATCAGCGAACTAAATGGATTTTTAAGCTTATGCATGTGATTCTCAAGTCCAATAGTGACTCAGTTGCTGTATTAGGAGGAGTTATGTCAGGTCCTGATTGTTTGGTATTTTGTTGATGCTGTTGTTGTTGTTTACGTGGATTCCTTCTTTGTCATTTTATTAGTTTGAGTTAATTTCATAAATAGTCATATCGAGATTTACTCTCAATTTCACTTTGATTCCTGATTTTTAAAACGTCTTACAGTTGATCCTTGAGGTTTTACTCTATTTCAGTTTCGGACATTCCGTTAATTAGGTGTTAAATGTTTGACGAAATCTGTGCAAATTAAGAACTAAATTAAAATTATCTATTTCTAATTTAGTAAAAGTTAATTTCCACAGATAGTTCATACATTTTAGTTAATTGCAACGGTTTGAATAGCTTTATAAATTTTTATTTTATCATTCATTTATTTTATTTAGAATTAAGAATTAAGATCTAGTATTTTATTCACTAGGTTATTCATTTATAAAACTTCTCTGAGAGTTATTTTAATATCTCTACGTTAATTTTTAGTATTCGTTAGAATCAAGGAATTTTGTAGAATTGTTACACTTCCGTTACATCAGTAATATTTGGCTAGCACAAGTAAGTGGTACAAAAAATGATTCCGCTCATTGATATGTTAAAATCACAATTGAATTCTTTTTGCTAAATACATTTGCTCTCATGAAAGTTTAAATTGAATAAGTTCAAACTGCAAACTAAAAACGAGAAAATACCGAGCTCAACAAGACTCGACTCCCAGTACAAAAATATGGGAAGAAAAATGATATTTATCTCGATAAGAATAAAACTCTATATTCATAAAATAATGTCTTATTAAATTGGATTTCACCTACTAATTTAACAGGGTCTGCTTTACGTAAGTAACGTGGTTTTAACTTGTATGAATAGGGGGTGCTTATACGAAGAAGATGCTTTGCTTTACTCCCAGCCGCAAACAAAAGTATAAAAAGGAGGCTCAACTGGGCTCTCTCTCTCTCACACGTGGTGGGGCTAGTACTAGTACTGTGTTTTGCAACAAATCAGCTTTTCTATGTTCTTACTTTCCGGTTTTTCGGCTGCAAACAAGGTGCAATGACCTTTAAATTAAGCGACTTTTTTTTTTTTTTGGCCTGGATGTAGGCACGTAACTCAACCAATACCTAACATGAAAACCATGAACCAAAAAATGGCAATAAAATAATAAATTCTCGAACTTTTCTCGACTTTGATGCATGCTTTCACGTTAAGGCCGGCAATATGGGTCATGACACGACGACACGACTCGAAAACGACACGAATTTTATGGGTTAGGGTTGAGAAAAAAGAGGTTCGGGTCAGAATTGGATCGACCTGAAATTGACACGAAAAATACGGGTCAAGTACCTGCCTAACCCGAACACGACACGAAACTCGTAAAAAACTAAAAAATACATATATTTTTCATTTCATCTTTTAAATTTTATTATGAACTTGTGATATCATGATAGTTATACTTAAAATCTTATACTATTATTTGCTTAATTTCAATGGATGTTATTGTAATTTAGTGTGTTATGAATTTTAAGTTATTTCTAATATGTAAAAAACTAAATAAAAGTATACAATTTTCGTGTCAATTTCGGGTTCACGGGTCAATTTCGTGTCACGGGTCATTTTCGGGTCGTATCGTGTCAGCTCGTAAAGTGGTCGTGTCGTGTTCGTGCTACGGTTTTTAAAAAATTTCGTGTCACGGGTCGTGGTCGGGTTAACTGAAAATTTTAAAAAAACGATCAAAACACGACACGAACACGACACGTGACACGAATTGCCACCCCTATTTCACATAATGTTGAGTGCCTAGGCTTCAAGCCTGATTTCCTAATAAATAAATTAGAATGAGCCGTTTTCTTTATTGCTTAATCTTTGTTTATCAAACTCAAAATAGGATAGATAATATTCAATTATAGGTTTGGTAACCCTCATATTCGAAGAATGTTCTTCTCACTTCCCAAAAAATAATTGCATCGCCTGAAATTGTTTTTGTTTTTACTTTTTACGTTTTTAAAAAAAAAAAATGAAAAAAAAATGTTGTAAAATTAAAGATAAAAAATAAAAATAAAAATAATTTTTTAATTTACTGTAAAATAAAAGAGAAATAAAAGTAACTTTTAGTCGTTCTTCATTTTTTATTTTCGTTTTCTCCTCTCTCGAGTAGAGAGAAACATTAATAAATTTTTTTATACTGAAAATAATCTCTTAATAAAACTACTAAACGTATTTTTAAAAATAATTTCTGTCTAAAATTAAAAACGTTTTTATTTTTATTTTTATAAAAAAATAAAATTATTTTAAAATGAACTCTAAACGCACAAAAGAAATTAGGAAAAGAGAAAGAAGATAGAAAAAAGAAAAGAAAGAGAAAGAAAGTTTGTCACGACATTGTTAGAGAGGCACGATTGGTGTCTTCCTAGGGCAGTACTATGACTTCAAATAAGTGATTCTGAAGGTGCTCACTGTACATACCCCACATTCAGCCAACAACAACACATTCTGTACTGGCAGATAAAACTCAAAATATTGATGAGTTCCGCTACTTCCAAATCTAGACCCATTTGGAAGATGAATAATATATATATATATATATATAATATGTGCTCATATATTCCTTTGGGAATGGATGGGGAACGAAAATAATTGAGCATAGTTGCATACGGATCGATTACATAAATGCGATGATAGTTTTTCTTTCATTTTCTTTCGTGATAGTATTTAAGAACCCAAGCTGTAAAGAGATGGAGAGAGCCATACCAATACCACTTGCCTTGTATAAGACGTGAAGAATGCCTTTCACATTTTTTAAGCATGAGTGTCAGTCCACTTGTTTACTCATCAACGATTGAATCAATGACATAAGTTGGACAATGTTGACCCAACTTCCGGATCTAATTTTGGTTCATGAATTGACAAGTCTCCATAGGTGTTCTCCAGATGGAATGGAATTACATTATATTATCACTATAGCCCACCGCCAAATGAGAATTCAATTTAGGAATTGAATTAAAGTAATTATGAAAAAGATAAAGATGTCAATAATCAAATAATGCTGTCGAAGAATACCATCACAGTAAACACAGTAGATTTAAGTGCAAAAGTAAACAAAAACTAGATTCAAACAAACCCAATAGAAATATAATTGAAACTAGGAAAAAAAAAAAGCAATTTAATTCGGCAACAAAGGTCTGTTGGTTTATTCCAAAACAGAAATTGAAAAGAGTGCAATCTCAAAACACATTGAAGAACGGCAAATAAATGAAATAACCAAATCAATGGGAAGTGATCTTCAAGTTGAGCCATGATTTCCAGTTACCACTTGCCTTGCGAGTGCTTTCCTTGACATCGTCCTCGATTTTCAGAGGCTGTGGCTTCTTACACAGCATAAAGTTGCGAGTTCCTTGCGACCCAATTGTATCAAGAGGACTCAGAGCTACACACAAAAAGGAAAAAAAACATAATTAAAACCAATCTAACTGTTTAATTCAATCTTCATTGTATAGTGTGGTTTGTTGTGATTCCAAATTCAGTTTTTGAGGGGAAAAAAAGGACTTTCGATACAAGAGGCGTTTGGCTCCTAACTCTAAAATAAAAGGGGAGTTACATATATAGCATAATCTTACTAGTAATGTTGAAATGTAGAAAAAGAAAATTGAAACATTTACAAATACTAAAAGATAAAATCATCATAAGAGTGGATTATAAAACGTAAAAACGATCACAATAATTACTATGAAATTTTGCTATTCTTGAACTATTTAAAAGAAATGCTCTATTTTAGTGTAATTTTTACAAGCAAACAAAGTTCACTAAAGGATGTTTTCACTGGATTGAAGTATTCTTAAAATTCAGATGTTTTCACGGTTTTCATTGATCTATTTTAGAACTCCTGTATTGTTTCTTTTAAAATTAGTACTGAAATCTAACAAAATAAAAAGATAAAGTTTCGAAATTTCACCAAGAACGTAAATTTATTTACACAATCTGAACATCGAAATTAGGCTTAGGGTTTATTAGCGTTACCTTCGATGCTGGAATTGGGGCAGTAGAGGAGGAAATCATTGAGATCGGAGCTGAGAAGAGGAAGGCGTCCCTCGCGGGCGTAGCACTTCAAGGCGGTGTCGATGACGGTGGCGACCAGCTCCTTCTCGTTGACGACAAACCGGATCGGACCGGCGCTCCCGAGCACCGTCACGCTGATCAAGATCCTGTTGCCCTTGGCGTTCTGGCTCTTCTTCTGCTTGTAAAGCAACATCGCAATTCGTGATGCGATTTCCACACAAATCTAAATTCAAAAACTCACCAATTCAACAAAAGAAAAGGCCCAAATCGCCGACGAAATATCACAAAACCAGAAACCAACAGAAGTAGAGAGAGAAAGGGGAAAAGGAGAGAGAAAGATTGGAGGGTCGGCGATGGGTCGGAGAAAACGACGTCGTGATTCAGGGGTCGACGCCGATGCAGCGGTAGTACCAGCCTTCCTTGCAGGAGGCGAAGGCGAAGGCGGAGAAGGCGACAGGGAGAGGGAGAGCGCTCGCCGCCGTCGGTTGAGAAAGCGGGCGCATCAAAGTCTCAGGCCCTGAGATTTCCACCATTCACAACGGCCTCTAGCTAGGGTTTCGAATGGAATGAAAGAGAGAAAGAAGAGAGACTAGGGAAAAAAAACCTTTGCTTTCTCAGGCAAGAAAAGAAGAGAATAAAAAGGGAAGTTGGTTTTGGTTTTGGGTTTTGGTATTCGGTTTGGGCGGTGTCAATTTGGCCCTTATAAGGGGTGGTGAGGTTTTATAGAAAGTGGGGTCGATTTTTTTGCGAGAAAATGCACCAAATAACATATTTAAAATCTGATTAGTTTATTAATTTAAATTAAAATATAATTTTATATGAAATTTTTTTATTATAATAAAAAAAATTAAATATAATTATTTTTTAAAATTTTTTATTGTAATAAAACTTAAATTTTGAACTCAAATGAAAAAATTAACAGGACGATAAATGACATGTTTTAGATTTTTGATTCTAAAAACAAATGCTCTTTTCTAAATTTACCTTTCAATTAGCGTTTTCATTTTTTTCTTTCAGAATACGAAACTCACCCCCACTCTCTCTCCTATTTTTTCTCTCTCTCTCTACCTTGCCTACCTCGCATTCTCTTTCTCTCTCTCTCTCTCTCTCTCTCTGCCTCTCTCGCTTTTCTCATCGCCACCCAAATTTGACGTCTAACCGAAGTTTCCCTTCGCATTTTCGCTTCACTTTGCACGTCGTCGTTAGACAGTGTTCTCTCTCCGACTCTCTCTCCTTATGGCCAAAGCGCGCAACTCTTCAATGACGTCAACTTTGAGAGAATATTGCAGCGAATAGCATCACGATTTCTCCGATGGCGTCTCCGGCGGTGTAATGATTTCCTTGATCTAGTCGGACACGCTCCAGATCTCAATTCCTCCCCATTGAATCTCTCCGTTGCTCGTGAACAAAGCTTGGCTTCTCCTTTTCCGACGGCGGTCACTTTGGAGATTGAAATGACCGCCTCTTGATTTTCTTTTTCTTTTTTCCTCTCTGGGCTTGTTTGTTTGCAGGTCTGTCATCACACTGTTTTGTTCGCTACGAAGGGGCTTGTTTTTTTGGCGACGGCGAGGTGTGGTCAGCAGGCGTTTGGGCGGTAGGGTCAAGTAGCTGGAAAGAATTTGGGGCCGATTTTAGGGCTAGGATAATGTTTTTAATTTAGAGTTTAATTGTAATTAAAATAATTTTGGAAGAAGTTTTATAAAGAAATGAATTACTCGTTATTTTGTAGTTTCATATTTTCAGTTTTTTAATGCTAACTTTAACACAAAGAATAGAAAATTTTAGTAAATATTGTATTTACCAGTAAATATATTGGTAAATACAGTATTTACAAGTTGTCGGCTTGGTGGCTAAATTTCTTGGTAGTTACGATATTTACAAGTAAATATGATATTTATCAGTCACCAGCACTTGCAACTAAATTTTCAAATAAATATGATATTTACGAGTAAATACGACATTTACAGGTATAAATTGTATTTATTAATAAATACGGTATTTAACGGTCGCGGGAGCCAACGGTCAAATTTTCAGATAAATACGGTATTTACTAGTAAATAAGATAATATTGGTAAATACGTATTTAGTTTCAACTGAGACTAGATTTTCGAATAAATTTGATATTTACGAGTAAATACGATACTTACTAGTAAATATGGTATTTATTAGTTGTCAGTGCTAGCGGCTAGATTTTTTAGATTTTCGGATAATATGATATGTACTAGTAAATACGATATTTATTGGTAAAGGCGGTATTTATCGGCCGCCGGCTTCAAGGGCTAGATTTTTGAATAAATATGTTATTTACGAGTAAATACAATTTTAAACAGTCACTGGAGTCGGTGATCAAATTTTCAGATAAATACGGTGTCTACTAGTAAATACGGTATTTACTAGTAAATATAATGTTAAATAATCACCAGAATCGATGCCTGAATTTTCATATAAATATAATATTTACTAGTAAATACAATATTTATTGATAAGTACAGTGTTAAACGGTCACCGAAGTCGGTGGCCAGAGTTTTGGGTAAATATGATATTTACTATTAAATACGTTATTTATTGCTAAATACGATATTTACCTATAAATACAGTGTGAAACGGTCAGCGGAGTTGGTGGTTGGCTTTTTGTTCAAATATTGTATTTACTAACAAATACGGTATTTACTAGTAAATGTATTTACTAGTAAATACAGTGTTAAACGGTCGCCCAAAAATAGTCACAGGAAAACTGTCATCGGTTGTCGGAAAACAGTTACAGGTTGTTAGAAAATAGTCTCTGGTCTCCAGATCCGGTCGCCGGTCCCGACCATGGTGGACTTAACTATAATTTACCTATTTTAAAAAAAATATGATATAATTTACTATTTAAAAAAAAAGATGTTTTGGGGGGATGAGTGAGGTGAAAAATGAGATTTAGGGGTATTTTTAGGTTTTTAATACTATTTAAAACTTAAAATATCGAATTATGTTATAATTTACTATTTTTTAAAAATACGCTATAATTACTAATCACTTTACCAATTATGTTATTTCCCTCCTTATCTCATTTTTTTAAATATGAGTAAAGTCGGCTTTTCTATTTATTTAAACCAAAAAAAAAAGTCAGCTTTAGTGTATTCATCCCCAAAATTGAAACGGGATTCTCGTAACCGGTAGTTCTAATTTTTGACCGTTGTATTTCATCAAAATCAGATTAGATTAAAATATATGCAAATTAGATAGATTTTGATACATATTTAACGACTGAAAAGTAAAAGATTACCAATAGTCTATTTTTACAGGGACTACTAGAGAAAGTCCCTAATAACAAAAAGAGGAAATATTAGTCAGCAAAAATTAAGAGGAAAGATCATTCTGATATGTATCCGATTTTCAGTTTATTTCGTTAGTTCGAATCACAACTCCAATTTTTTTTATATTGTTTTCTCTAACAAAAATTCAAATTCAACCTTTTTATTACAGTATTTTCTCTCACATAAATTCACCTTTCAACTCAAGTTGAAAAGTCGAATTAAAGAAATGAATGGGTAACTTTTTCTATTATAGTGTTTTCTTCCACATAAATTTACTTTTCAACTTAAATTCTCAATTCGAATTTGCGACAATGGGTATCCTTATTTTAGCTACAAAGTATTGATCCAACAGTTATAATAAATTAGATAATTAACTAAAAAATTATAACTATTAATAAGATTAGAATCTTATCTCGCCATAATTAAATTTATATATTTGATGGGTAATCATTTTTAAACTATTGAAAACTCATTTATATATATGTATTCATTTTATACATATATTTTAGTGTTTCAAAAATCTTAGTAAGAATCTTATTATTCTAACAATATCACCTCAATATCTAATGCTTTCTTTTAGACATTTTTTGAGTAATTTTTATGGTGGAGCAAGCTATTTTACTCTATTAGTGGGGTAAATATTTTTACTGTTAAATTAATTTTTAACTGTTAGATTTGCATCATGAGCAGTTCTATGTGGCACGTTGTAAATTTTAATACATACCTATGCAAATCTTACCTTTAAAAAATTAATCTAATAGTTAAAAATATTTACCATACTAATGGAGTAAAATAGCTTACTCTACCGTAGAGAGAGATATATATATATATATATATATTTACCCTGAATGCTGGAGTTGTTTTGGTTTTGGTTTAGTTAAGTTATTTTTTAATAGATTTTTATTTATTTTAGAAAATTTAATTTTTTATTTAATTTTATATTTGGATTAAAAAGGTAAAATTTTAAATCAGAGACAGTAGAGAATAACTTAAAAAAAAAAAAAAAAACTTAAGGAAGCAAATGTTAGTGGAAGAAAATATCAGTTTTTAAAAAACAATTTTCAAAAATACAAGAGTGCCTTCCACATCATTTGCAACTAGAGATCTCTAATGTTGGCGACGCAGCAAGATCTTACCATGGAGGAGATCTCATCGGGCTTCCACTATAATGGGGCGACATTGCCGTGTGAGGGGCGATCTTGCTAGATCTTGTTGGTGTGATGTTAGACGGCGAAGCACGAGCTTGGCGAAGCACAAGGACGACGCATAAAGAGAGCGATGGTGAGATTTGGTGGAGACAGAGCAACGATGAGAGGACGAGAAAGTGAGTGAAGGTGAGATGGAAATGTTAAAGTAGAGGTTATGTTTGAAATTGACCCGTTTTTATTTTTCACGTTTTTTGAAAAAGAAAAAATAAAAACGTTCTTAAAACGGCGTTTAGCACAATAAAGATAAAAAATAGAAATAACAATGATTTTTTAGTTTAGTGTAAAATGAGAGAGGAATGAAAAATGACTTTTAGTAATTTTTCATTGTCTCCTATCTCAAGCATAGAGAGAGAAAGAGAGGCATTAATAGGTTTTTTATACTGAAAATAATCTCTTGATAAAACTACTAAACGCATTTTTAAATATGATTTATCTCTGAGATTGAAAACCTTTTCGTTTTTATTTTCATACAAAAAATTAAATCATTTTAAAATGAGTTTCAAAAGCACCTAGGGTTTTGTGATATATGAGTAGGAGTATTATTGGCAACTTTTTTGACATTTGCTTAACCTACTCCTAGTTTCTAGTATTTATTTTAATTACCCTCTTTATTTCTACAAATTCCCCCCTTCTCCCATGATATATTATGTATAAGAAGATGGATAATAACTAAAATAAACGTATCTATTTTAATCAATATCTATCTTCATAATTTTTTTTTTGACTGACAACTCCATATATTTATTATTAGTCAGTGAGAGTTTGCTATTTGATTGACATGAAAACTTTTTATTATAGAGATTTGACAATTTATTTCTTGCGTAATTATTACTAAAAATTTATTTAAAACTTAATAGAGTTTGGGTATTTTAATTTATATAAAATTTAAGATTTCTCGTATTTTTTTGTTCAAGTAGTAGTATATTTTTATAAAATACTACTTAAAAGCACATGCACCGCGCGTGCATTCCATGTAACTTTTAAAAATGAAAATTTAAAACTTCTTTTAAGAATTAGTTTTACCTATTTACTGTCATCTTAATAGTTGAGTTTATTAAAAGTAAATAAATTTATTAGAGAACATCTAAAAGGGAGAAAAGTTTTTGATGGAGAAAATTAGAAATAAATTATTTATGTGGTATATATAAAAAAATATTTAAAAGGCTTGTATAAGAAAAATATTTAAGTAGTGATATATCTGAAAAACCATTATTGAAGGGAGCAATTAGGGAAAAATATTTTCGAGGATTATGGTTGGAAAAAAAAAAATTGACTACAAAAAAAAATATGTTTAGGTTATCACACATATGAGAAAATTTATTTTAATAAAAGTAGTTTTGGGAAAAAAGTTTAATAAGTTCATTTAAAAACATAAGATTTATAAATAAAAAAAATAAAAGGATAGAAATGTATATTTCAACAATACATGTATTTCTTTTAAATGTGTACATGTGAGAGAAAGTGTGAGTATATGTTGTAAAGATAATACAGTCCCGTTTATTTCACCGATTTGAGTTTTGTTGCAGTAAAAAATTCTCAGAAACAGTCACATGTAATTTTTTTGCTACAGTAAAAAGCTCTCACATAAAATCACATCTCAACTCAAATTAAAAACTTGAATCAGCGAACTAAGCAGGCTCTACATATGTTAAAGAAAAATTGAAAAAAATGAATAAGAAAAAGTGGGAAAAAAAGGAAAAAAAAAAGAAGCTGATACTTTACAAACGAAGAATGGTGTACTAAAAATGACTTTTTTTTGACAGAAAAATAAGTAGAGATACATTAGGAAAAGCTATGTCAATATAAACTATCAAAGAAGAAAAAGTATTTTGAAGAATCAAAACAAAATGGAATAAAATTTTGAGAATCTTTTAGTGAGGAAAAAATTAAGGACATGATATTTGAAATAAATTATTTAAATAGAAACAAAGTAAGGGAAAAAAATGTATTTCAAAGATGTTAATTGCAATAACTTTATTGTTGAAGAGCTTTTAGCAAAAAGAAATAAAAAGAAAACAAAAGAAAGGAAATAACGGTTGAGATCGTTCTACACAGTCATCGGTGATAAACTTCTAGGACGTTTCACATTTTTCACCACTTTTGTTTTGTTGGGGATACTTGGAAGAGACAGCTATAGAATAGTTGAAAACTGAAAAGGCAATTGACGTTTGCAAACAAACCTGGGTGATTACAATTGACGTTGGAAAACTGAAAAGGCAATTGACGTTTGAAAACATACCTGGTAGATTAGCGGTGGCTTCTTTCGTTCAACAACTTAAATAGTAAAGATTTAATTTTTTTTATTAAAACTGTTATAATTTAAATTGTGATCTGAATCATTATTTAGATATGTAAATAAATTATAATTTAAATTAAAAATAAAATCTAAACTTTATTTAGATAAAGTGTTAAAAATTATTGTTAGAGTTTTATAATAAATATTATAAAATATCATTATAAATGACTTTAAAAAATATGTAATATGGGTGGAGATTTGTTCATCTCTTCATTATGAACACATTAAAAAAAATAATCTAAATCAAAATTAAAATGAAGAAGTTACGATATTTTTAAGATTGAAATTAAAGAGAAAAAAAGTAGATTCTAAAATTGTTAGACTTTTGACAAAAGGGGGAAGTGAATTTTAAAATCAACAATTTGAGTTCTCGTGGAACCATTGTTAATGGCTTGAATTGTCCTTGAATTTTTCTCTTTCAAACACCAGCTTAAATTCTGGACTAAGGTTTAAATCTTAAACAACAGTTTGAGTTGTTAAACAAACATGGGCTAAAAGCCCAAAATTTTTTTGATTGGCAATGTTTAAAAATAATAAATGACAAACTAGAATTAAGACTTAAGAGCTCAACACAGCTAAAAAGAAAAAGAAAAAAGAAAGTAAGTTTGTAACATTCAGACTTTCTACTATCCATTTGCTTTCTTAGTTGTTATCATCAGTGGCGGAGTCAGAAATTTTGTTCAGTGGGCGTAAAAAAAGCTAAAAATGAAAACAATCGTATAACTATATTTTTTTCTTTTATTTTTTCTACAAATAGTTTGAAACTCTTAATAGTGTTTCATCACTTTGTAAAGTTGAAGTTAACAAAATTATGAATTAAAATAGTAGTATAGTTAATTTTTGCTTTTATTTGGATCTTTAAGTTTGAATTATTAGTACTTAAAAGTTAAAATTTATGATTTATTTTTAGAAGTTTTATAAATATGATATTAATAAAATTGAAATTTGTCCCCAGAAAGAATCAAGTTTGGATGATAACAGAAAATATTTTACAAACACATGTAAAAACTGTAATTATAAAATTAAAGGGAGGGCAATTTAAAGGGAAAAGTGCAAAAGAAAAACTTTTTTGGAGCCAAATATTAAGGAGCCACTTGGGCCCGGCCCTAAAAACCTAGAACCATTGATTAGTAGTGAAGAATAGTACCTGATCTGAAATATCACCAGACCATAGGCGTAATATTGGCGCTTCAATGGTCCAAATAACGCATGCGAAGATGTGATCTGAGCAAGAGATTTTTGGGTCCTACATTCCGATGGAGATGGATCAAGCACAACACAATCACATCTTTTGGTACTATTTAGGTTCCTATATTGAAGTTTTTGACAATTGTGCCCGTGAAATCTAATTTTCTTAGCACTTGAATCCCCGGTCTGAAAAGTTAGACAACTCGATCCTCTTAAAGTTACCACCTCCAAATTTTGCGACGGTTTTACCAAACTTTTGTTTAAAAGACAATTTTAGAGATTTTTTACGGTGAAGTCTCAATAAGTGCTCCATTATTTTTTTAACTGTTGGATTTATTTTTTAACAATTAAATTTGTCTAAATCTGTATTAAAAATTTACAGCGCGCAGCACAAAATTATTTTTGATGCAAATCTGATGGTTGAGAAAGTAATCTAACACTAAGAAAATCATAGTAAGTGGTTTTGAAATCTGGGATAATTTATTGTAATCTGGAAATCCTGTGGAATAATTTACGTTTCAGAAAATTATCTGTTTTCTTTTGATGATAAAAATGTATACGATATATATATCTATGTAGCTAAATCAACTCAATTACATATCGGTTACTTCTATGATATCAATTGGTGTATTAATCTTTCAATTGTTATCGTGTTTGGTATGAAATCATTATCAAACATATATAAGTCTTCTCGTTACTTGCACTCTATTAATTACAATTTTTTTCTTGCTAAGATACTAATAATTACAATTTAATTAAGAACTATCCCCATATGACCTTGAACTAATTCACAAGCTGATGTCAGGAAAAATAAAAAATTTGTTCCTTTTCACCACTTGTTTCTAAAAGATCATTGATCAACTAGAACCTTCAAAGAAGAAATCCAAATGGTGGGGTAGAAAAGATTATGTACGTCAAGTTGATATGAAATTAAATTAGAAAATTAAGAAAATAATATTTTTATAAACACAAAGCAAATACAATCTCCGTACTTGGTCTAGTACTAAAACAAAGTCAATGAGAAATATGGAAAATATTAAAGAACAAACGTGTTTTGTTTCAACGTTCTTAACTTCTTATCCTCTCTTTCTCTATGAGAATTTATTTATTCTTTTCTTAGAGTGACCTTTTTTTTCAGTTACAACTGGACGGTGCAAATGCAATAATTAAGGTTTCGTTCATTTTACTCATTTGAGTTTTTAATTTTAAGTTTTTATAGTTAAAAATTTTAAAAAAAATATCACATTTAATTTTTTTTGTTACAATTAATTTTTTTTTTTTAAATATCACATCTCAATTCAAATTAAAAATTTAAATTCACAAAGTGAACGTATGCTAAATGTTTGAGGCTGGCCTCGTTCACTTCGCTGATTCGAGTTTAGAATTCGAGTTGAGATGTGATTTTATGTGAGAGCTTTTTACTGTAATAAAAAAGTTAGATGTGATTATTTATGAGAGTTTTTTACTGTAGAAAAACTTAAATTCTAAACTCGAATCAACGAAGTGAACGAGACCTAAAAATGACATGCGAACTACCATAATTAATAAAAAGTGAATTTTATTGTTAAAATAATTAGAACAAGGACTTGTTGAATATCACGATAGATAGCATGTGATTCAGCTAGAAAGTAGAAAGTCAATAATATTCTATGTATATTGTTAAAATAATAGCAATATTAAATAGCAGAAAAGAAAATTAAGTCTCGGTGGGCATCAAACGTTAATTTCTGCACGAAAAATAGAGAGCTCAACCCAAATCACGTGTAGAATTTTCAGTCCTTTCGACTGTAGTACAACCTTGTCCGACATTATGAAAGCCTTTTGTCCTTTTGCTTTACATAAGACTTTTCTTTTTCTTTGGAATTTTTTTCGGTGAGATTCTCTATTGATTTTTTTTACTATTATATCTAATTTTTAATACAAATTCCTTTTTTTTATTTTTTATTTTTTGTGGGATAAAGCGAGTAAAACAGTGGAAACACAAAAGTTAGGTTTAGAATTGATTTTATTTTTATTTTTTACGTTTTTTGAGAATAAAAAAGTAAAAATATTTTTAAAATGACGTTTGACGTAATAAAAATAAAAAATAAAAATAAAAATAATTTTTTAATTTAGTGTAAAATAAAAAAAAAATAAAAAATTATTTTTAATAATTTTTTATTTTTTATTGACATTTTCTCTTTTCTTTTTTATAATAAAAATAATCTTTTAATAAAATTATTAAACACATTTTTAAAAATAATTTTTATTTAAAATTAAAAATATTTTTATTTTTATTTTTATATAAAAAAATAAAATCATTTTAAAACAACACTCAAAAAGTCAAAAGCATATTGAAATATGAAAGGCCACTTGTTTCCAAAGGTAAAAAAGATGATTGTGACACTGATCAATTGCAGCTTTCGAATTTTCTATCACAATTCATAGGTACATACACCACAAGAGACACGTTGCAAGAAATAAAATAATCTAAAATACGACAAACTCTAGAGTACTGCAGATTCCTTTGAAGTGTAAAGTTGCATGTGGATATATATGTATAATGTATTATATTATATACATGTGCTTCTGATTCTTCAACATCCAAAAACAAAAAAACAAAAAAAACAAAAAAAAAAGAGTAAAGGAAGGTGCTTCTTCTGATTTTCCTACGATTATAAGCTGATACATATTTCCTTACCAATATTTACATAGATTTCCAAATCTCTATCTATATCTATATATATTTATATAAATATACATATATATCATTCATTTAATTCGTTCCTATCGCGTAGCAGAAGACAGGCTTTTATTTGGAGGAAGTAAAAGATGGAGAGTATTCTTCTGAGAATTCGGGTGAGAAGAGGCGTTAATCTTGCCGTTCGTGATACCCTTTCAAGTGACCCCTATGTCCTCGTCACCATGGGGGAACAGGCCTGTGTTACTTTAGCCCTTTCTCTTTTTCCTCTCTCTCTCTCTCTCTATCTATATAGATATATATATATATATATATATATATATTTTTTTTTTTTTAATGATGTTGCACAATTATTAATCTTACTTATGTAGCAGAGGAAAAGTAAACAATGATGCCCATCAGTATGATTAATTTTTCAGGCTAATCACGAGCTTGTTTTGAATTTGTTTCACTAGTACTCCCTCATGTCCACACATCTGTTCATACTTCAAACCCATTTCCTAGATTAATTTCCTAATTTCTTTGTTTCGTTTAATCGTCTTCTTTAATTCGTTTGTAGTCTTTCCCTTTGTGGTTTTTGATGAAACTACATATTATACATATATGTATATATACATGAGTGTGTGTGTATGTTGGAGGCAGCCTTGCTGCTACAAACACCAGATTTTTATTCCTTTTTTAGGATGATCGATTCGTGTAGTATAAGAAGCTATGATTTTAAGACAATTCTTGTAGTAAACTACGTCGAAAATGGTTCTTGGGAAAGTAGTTTTTTTTTTTTTTTTTTTTCATATTAATCCTTGGTTCTTTATTTGGGACAGAACTATTTGCTAGTTTTGACAGTTGAATGATGGACATAATTGAACTCATATAGTTGTTATTTCTGGAAAGAGCCGAAACAATATATGCATAGAATTGGTTTTAATAGGAAAGTTTCTCGATAATTTCATAAACTCAAAGGTTAATCTCATATATACCCCATACATAAGGAAATAGAAAGAAAGGAAAGGAAAGCCACTGAGATTGACACATTTGATTTGAAATACGCACCTCAAATTTAACATCCTTAAAATACCATTATTGAGAACTGTTAAATCCGAACAAACATTACTTTTTATCCTTTCATAGTTCCATTTGTTCTTTGCCGTTGTTCCAAATATGAGCATTTGACTAATTTATGCAAAATTTACCATACGGAATTTTTATGGTAATTTTTTATTTTGTATTTTAATTTTATGAAACCCTTTTTCGTAAGTGAAATATTACCTTTAATAATATTGTTTTGCAATTTATGAGAACTGTTTTCAGAGTGCACAAGATTAAGTGTTTTTTTTTTTCTTTTTATTTGTTTTGTTTTGTTTTTTGGGTTATGGTCCTATGGACAATTAAAAACTCCTAGTTCTTGGTTTGCCTTCTCTCCTCTGATATTCTTACAAATATCATGCAGAAACTGAAGACTCGCGTGGTGAAAAACAACTGCAATCCAGAGTGGAATGATGAATTGACACTCTCCATCACGGATCTTGAGACCCCAATCACTCTTGTAATTAAGCAATCTTCTATTTCTAATATAGTTTTTTAGTCATATGAGAAACTCAACTTATTACTCCTCAAACAATCAAGCAAAATCTACACTTCATTCCTGATTTTTACATTGTGATCAGAAGAGTTGACATATTTGCACTAATTTTATTTATAAGGGCCACTGATTAATTTTCTTGTTTTAATGCAGACGGTGTTTGACAGAGACACACTAACTTCAGATGACAAAATGGGTGATGCAGAGATTGACATCAAGCCCTATATAGAATGCCTTAAAATGGGGCTGGAAAACCGCCCAGATGGCAGTGTGGTCAAGCGGATTCAGCCGAGCCACGAGAATTGCCTCTCCGATGAGAGCAGTTGTGTTTGGACCAATGGAAAAATTGTTCAGGACATGTGTCTCAGGTTGCGAAACGTCGAGTGCGGCAAAATCGTCGTTCAAATCGAGTGGATCAATTTTCCAGGTTGTAAAGGCTTAATAGGAGATGAAGCTAAAAATGGTTCATTAGATGTTGAAGCTTCAAAGGGTCTGTTGGGAGTTGAAGGTAAAAGAGGTCTATTTGGAGTTGAAGCTGCAAATTAATTAGTATTTCTTCTCCTGTAATGTATGTATTTGGTTTCAAGTTTTTGTGTCTTATGCTTGAAATAGTGTGTTTGTTTCGAGCTTTGTGTCTTGTGCTTGAAATAATGTTGTATTTATCTACGTTACAAGCTTAGTGTCTTGGTTAAGATTGTCATAGTGGCATATCTTCTGTAAGTTTTGTTTCCGAAAAATTTGTGTTATCCTGTATAAAGTACTTGAAATGGATAATGTATTAGAAAACTATCTAAACGACCAGTGCAAATATATTTGGCTATAAGTATATACATTATTTCTAATGAAACAAGTGTAGTACTGATTTACTGTACATTAATATTTCATATAACAATTACACGTTATTATGTATTGAGTAAATCTATGTAACAGAAAATAGATGGCGTGCCCCTTCAGGTGGCAAGGCTTTTTTTGAGGCTCTATACCAACACTTCAGAATCGTTTCTTTCATGTACTTAAACTCAAAAAATTTAAATTTTTTTGAGGTTTTATAATATTTTTCTCTCACAAAAAATTTAAATTTCAAATTTTAAAATTAAAAATCATAATTTGAGTATACATTCTAAATAATCTCATGTTGTGACGGGAATGAGTTTCATTTGTGAACTCAAGTCACATTTGAAATACATCTGTAAGAGATGTGGTTTGGACGTCTGGTAGGCCTCAAGTAATCAAATTAAACATAAATACCAGTAAATAGTAGATTTTCAAAACTAGATTAAGTAAGAGTAAATATTTTATTTATAACTAGTAAAAAAATTTTACGTGATAAAAAATCTTTATTAAAGTGAAAAAAAATCTTATAACAGTCATAAAAAAGAAATTTACAGAGAAAAAATTCATTTTTTATTGAAACATTCTCCCCTAATTATATAGGCAAATTTACCCATTGACCTGAAGTTGCTTTTTGATCCCCTATTAGCACAACTGTTTCCGAATTTTATCTGCTTCAGCAGATTGCCACTAATCTTTTAGTTTTGACAATTTACTCCTCAACTTGCTAAAATTCAGCATATTTTATTAGCTCCGTTAAAATACTACGGAAAATGCTTGTGTCCCTCATGTGAGTTTGATGGCTTGGTTTTGTCCGGACATAACAATGAGCAGATTAGGATGAATTGATAAACTAACATGGTTTCAGAAAAGAGAGATTTTGAGTTTAAACATCCGTAATTATACTCTTTATTCTTATTTAAAATTGTTATCATATGTTGGGTCTTTTAATATATCTCGGACTTAAATATTCACGTGTTGGGCTTTCTAGTTAATTTACCCACACGATTATCCATTATTCAGCCCACACGTGAAGAGGAGTGTGAGCTTAAATATTCACGTGTTGAGCTTTCTAATTAATTTATCTACACAATTGTCTATTGTTCAACCTACACATGAGAAAGAGT